TTCAATAAATATTTTTATATTTATGTATTTTACAGCATGTAGATGAAGAAAATAGCTATTTATGTGGCTATTTAAAAATTAAAGGTCTTACAGAGGAATTTCCTACATTAACTACATTTTTTGATGGTGAAATTATATCAAAGAAATATCCCTTTTTAACTCGAAAATGGGATGCAGATGAAGATGTTGATAGAAAACATTGGGTTTGTATTACATTTCAATATATATTTTTTCTAATGAATATCTGTTTATAATTTTTTATATATTTTTTTTAATTATAGAGCAAATTTGAATCATTTCGTCAATATGCTAAGACATTTAACTCTGATACATTTGATTATGAGGCTTTAAAAGGAACTGATTTTGTTTTTATGAGGTGGAAGGAACATTTTTTGGTTCCTGATCATACTATTAAAGATATCAACGGTGCCTCATTTGCAGGATTTTATTATATTTGTTTTCAAAAATCTGCTGCTACAATTGAAGGCTTTTATTATCATCGTAGTTCTGAATGGTAATTATATTTCTGTGATATAAAAAAATATATATATCATATATCAATAGTATATGATTAAATTTTAAAAAGTTTGAATCAACTTTAAAATTTTTATGGGTTAGCATTTTTTTCAGGAATTAATTTAACCTATCTTAATAAAGTGAGAGAAGATAAAAAAAAAAAATAATATAGATAAAATATATCAAATAGAGATATTTGAGTTAGCACTTCAAAGGAATGCTACAAAAGAGAAAGATATTCATATGATAAAAAAAATTTCACTTTCTATTTTGATCTCATTATAAAACAATTATAAAAACTATTATAAAAACAATCCCAATAAACTATCAAAACTTTTATAATTAAAATGAATTCAAAATAATTGGAATAATCAAATCAAAATGTAATTGGAATAATCACAATCTTGAATTAGATTAATTTTAATTAAATCATTATCAATAATTATTGATAATGTTGATTATTAACAAAAATATATATGTATTCCATCTCATTTTGATTAGAAAAATCTTAGCAATTCATTAATTCTATTTTCATAAAGGTAAGATGAAAATTATAGAAAGTGATATTATTTTTTTCTCTTTAGATATTTAGGTATTCCTTTGAAATATCGATTTTTAATTATTATTACTTGACGAGTCTATTCTATTTTTTGTAATTTACTTTTTTTTTGTCTTTTGTAATTAAAATTGGATATTGAAGTAAGAATAATAAAAGAAGAATAAAACTCAAAAAATTTTCTATGTTTTAAATTTAACTAAACATTACTGATTATTGATAATTACTGATTATTTATATAATCAATATATAATTATAATATATATATATAATATATACGTAGATTATAATTTTGAATATAGTCTTTTACAATTTATATAAGATAAACTAAAAATTTATATAAGATAAACTGCTATCTATATATTAGGTATAATGATGAGGAATCTTTCTTACTGCTTATTTAATATTTATTCATATAAGAAGGCTTGTATTGAAGGATATTTTTTAATATTTTCATCAATTTATTATTAATTATCAATAATTACAAAAATAAAACTGAAAAAAGTATTATCACAATTTTTTTTATTCTTGATTTTCATTATATTTTGACTTATAGAATCATCTCTTAAATCTTTGGATAAAAATATTCTGTAAAAATATTCAAATACTTTTTACGTGTGTAATTAAGCATTACAGTGTGTAATTATTCATTATATAAATCTTATTTATATATTATTTTTTATTTTAAATATTATTTTATTAAAATATTAATATTTTTATAATTTTACTTTTATGTATTTTGTATTTAAAAAAAATCAAAATTTCTAATTGTATATTATAAATGTTATATAATTGTATATTATAAATTGTATATTATAATGTAGTATATTATAAAAAATTATATCAATATTGTATTTCTTATATTTTGCAAAGAATTAACAAAATTTTTATTATTTCAGGTATCAATCATTGAATTTAAAACACGTCCCAGAACATAGCATACAAATCTACGAATTCAGGTGAAATCAATGACTCACTCAGTTATTTCTCCAAATTCATATTTTGCCTCTCCTAGCATACAGATCTCATAAAAATCAATCGGTTAAGTAGTTTAATTCAATTTTGAACAAGCAACAATTTTTAAATTGTTTATGTTAAAAATAAGGTTCTTGAAAGAATTAACTACTTATTTCTTAGGTTTTTTTTTCTTTCTTTTTAAACAGTAGTATATAATATATGGAATATACATATATTAAATTTAATTTATATAAATATTAGAAATATCATAAAGAAAAGTCATAATTAAAAAAATGACAAAGATTGCAGTCATTGATACGCTTGATTATAAATTAGATATTATTGATATTCATTGTAAGATGTTTTATCGAAATAAATTAATTGATATTTTTTGTCAATTAAATTGTTGTTAATTATTTGATATTTTTATATAAGACTGTATTATTGTTTATTAGCAATATTTATCTATTTTTTTGTTTAAGTTTAATAATTAATATATATAGTTAAAAATCTTATTAATTTATATATTTAGAAACACACGAAATGAGAATAATTTTCTAAAATTGAAAAAATAAATATAATTATATTTGAATTATTTATTAGAGAATCTAATGACTGCATAGATTTATATTTTACTGCAGAGAAATTTAATGTTTTATATTTTATTCACTCAAATACTTATGAGATCTGTTTGCCTAAACTGAAAGAACGATAATGACTGAATGAATTGGCGTGAATGTAATAAAAATCACACTGAAATATGAAAGTAATTTTAATATTAATTTAAGATATCAAATTTCATGTTGATATTATTCTCTTGCATCAGCATGATATAAACTAAATGGTAAATTCAGATTAAATGTTCCATTTAAGGAGAATTTTGTTAGGAAAAATTTTCTTACTCTATCTATACAAATCAGTTTATGTACTCATTAACTCTGTTTTATATATTTAATACAATTAATAAATTCTTAATCACAGAAGCATACCAAATAAAGAAAGCCTTTCCTTATAAGATTCCCCTAAGTGGTACAATTTTAATGAGCCAAGTGAACAAGAAATTCATAATATTAATAAAACAAAAAAATTTGATACAAGTTGGCTGTTTATAGAAATCGTAATATAATGTTGAATAATAAGATATTGAATCTGTTATAGATATAAAACATCCTAATTATTCATTATATTAATTAAACTAATTTAAATTATTTATTCAGTAAATTATTAAACATTAAAGATTATTATTAATTTTGAATCTCTTTTTAAAAATGAAAAAAATTATTCTTTTTAATCTTAATCACTAAAAAAATTTTTAATATTATTAAAATAATAAAATTTGTATACTATTTAAAAAAAAATTTAATTTCTTTATTTTATTTTTGTAGAACAGGACATGAATATAAAATATATA